ACGTATTTGCGTGTCATTGGTATTAAATTGCAACTTTGAAATCCCTTGTAGCCGTAGACACCCATCATAATCCCCCAGTAGTGCTTAATTAAAATTTAATAAAAAATGGAAAATCCCAAGAGGCCTGAAGGTAAAATTGCGGTATGTAACTATCGTATTGTTGGTGGTCTATTAGTCTAATCCAGAGTATCATTCCTCGATATACTCTATACAGTACTTGTACTTTTTACTTGTACTTAAGTATTTTTGAAAAATACTTTGTACTTTTTACTCAAGTACGTATTCTCTCCAGTACTTTTTACATTTACTCAAGTCGTTTTAATGCGAATTACTTCTACTTTTACTCAAGTATAAAATCAAAGTAATTTAGGCACCACTGTATATGAATACTATATTATTTTACTGTAAAAAGTCAACAAGGATACAAAATACACGACAGTTTTAACTCTACATTGCCGCAATTCCGAAGCTTTGCGTTGCTCAGTTTTACAAACGGGAAGTGTAGTTTATGGAAGCTTGTCAATCACTTCATTTGAATCAGTTATCAACCAATCAGAGTTCTGCGTCCAAATATTGGACGCATGCACGTAAATATCATAGGGATCCTTTCAGGCTCTCTTTCACCCAGAGAGCCTGCTCGCAGGCTATTAAAAAAGATGTGCTGTGACTGGTCCTGTAGCCTGTAATGAATGAGTTCTTAATTAGAGGAACTTGATTTTGAGAGCTACTGGTCTATCTAAGAACTCGAGAATGTTCCACCAATTGCAGTTTTAGATAATTTGGTCAGTTTGCATCATGAAGCGCTTTATAACAAATTTTCAGAATGCTCCATTCACGTTGTTTCTTTCCCGATAACCAGTTTAAGGATAAAACGTCGTGTGTTCTAGCGAATTTACCCAACACGAAGTTATCCGCTGTTTTGTGCACCATTTGTAGACGTTTCTCTCTATATACAGGGTGTATCAAAAAAGCGCAACCTTGGAATTTCCCAAGAAATCGACATTGTTTTAAAGACAAAAGATTTTAGGCGCCTGGGAATTTAAAATAGCATAACTGTCAAAATTACTGCACACGCGAGTGCAACAACAGTAATATGATCTATTAGCAATTCGATTTCAATTCCAAGGGGCCTAAAATCTTTTATGCTTAAGAATTGCAAAGTGATTTCTTAGGAAATTCCGAGGTTGCGTTTTTTTTATACACCCTGTATTAGCAATTCGATTTCAATTCCCAGGGGCCTAAAATCTTTTATGCTTAAGAATTGCAAAGTGATTTCTTAGGAAATTCCGAGGTTGCGTTTTTATTGATACACCCTGTATATACGATCGCGACGTACGATACTGTACTGTATAATGGCAAGTATAATTAATCGACGAAGCTACACTATACAGACGGTGAATTACTGCATGCGGGGGTTTCTGAGACATTCTCAAATGTATTACACGAGTATTTTGTATTATTTTCTCAGAATTTCTCTTTTATTTTACGTTATATATCAGTTATTTTATAGACTATGTTATCGCGCTAATTATTCGCAAATACAGAATATATATATATAGTTCCACGAAGGTTGTATGGAAGTTTCGCTTCAATAAATATATTATCAATAGTGTTCACGCTCTCTGATTTGAAATATTTATTTACGACCTTTCGACTGCCAGTCTGCAGTGTTCAACGGGTAGTATACGATGTAACTAGCCTTTGAAGAATGCAGACGGGCAGTCGAAAGCTCATAAAGTAGGCCTATTCTGGGGCGGTAAATCGCCTTAAATCGCTGCGATATAATGTGATTTTGGGCGATTTTAGGCGATTTAAGGAAAAACTGGGACTTTCAAGCACTGCGATTTAATGCGATTTTAGGCGATTTAAGAAAAAAATTTTAATTTTAGGGATTGCAATTTAGGTGTTTTCAAAGGAATTGAATTTTATATTTTGCTCCGGTTTCCTCCCACAAGGCAACATTGGCAGGGTGGGTTAGGATATAAACACAGTTAGGAAAGTAATATCATATTCTCATTGTTGTAAAGATAAATAGTCTAGGCTAACATAAGTAATCATAGTACTTGATATAATCGGTCACTGAAAAGCCCCAATGTGGGGAGTGAGCTAAATAATAATGTAATGTTCCACACACATATGCATTGTATGAAGCAAAATACAATGATTAGAACATGTATGTACATTTTATATAAAGCTAGGTTAACTAATTATTGTATTTAACCTGATTCACATATAAAGCTTAATATTCATGAACTTTTCATCCATTCTCTATTTAGAAGCCATTGGAGTTCATCTTGTGGGGTCATGTGGTCATTCATGGCTACATTATATACCACAAATATTCATGTAAACAGTTAATATACTCTACTTAAGGGGCATGCACTACACATGTCTTAAACTTTAATATCATTAATTAATATCATCAAAAGATCTATTGTACGATGTAAATGTAATCATTGTTTTACTGTTTATTGTTTATACAGTAATACAGGTCTGGAAAATTTAATAGATGAGAGTTGCAAATCGCTCATAACCTCACGTATATTTTTCGTTTGATAGCCACTATAATTATAATTATAACTAGGAGCTAGAGTATAACCATGCACATGTCGAAGTACAACCATTGTATACAATGCAGTGCTCGATGTTACATGCAACAGTGCACACATTACAGGATGACTTTATTATATAAATCAACACTCGTACTAATTGACTTTCCTAGTCTCCTAGGCTACTGTTGTTCTAATTAACAGCAATTAGGCTTTGAGAAGCCATGTTAGATTATAGATTAATTTGTAGCCCAGCCTCCATAGTCCATATAAATTGTAGCCCAGCCTCCATTTACACCAATAATGAAATTAACTCATTGTGGTAACTAGCTCAATTTTGTTGCTGGTAGTGTATGGGATCTATGGGTCTTTCAGATCCTAGAATTACCTAATTATTGTAAAGCCTGCATAAAGCAGAAAAAGGCTCTGTTTTTGTCAATGACCGGTGCCTATTGAGTGACCAAATATTGTCAGCCTAATCCACTTATTTGATTGCTAATTCTTGTTGCATTACTTTTGATTGCGAGCACCTGGATTACATGATTGGCCCGTAAAATAGCAGCAATTGATAAACTTGAGTACATGGACTGAATGTATCAAACAGAATGCATGTTGGAAATTTTAACCGATTTTAGGCGATTTAAGAGAAATTCGACAATTTTAACCCGCGATTTAATGCGATTTTAGGCGATTTAGGGCGATTTAAGGCGATTTACCGCCCCAGAGTACTAGCGATTGAACTCTAGTGAGTTCAACACTCAACTAAAGTTCTGTTGACTAATGATGAAAACCTTTGATTCGTTGAAGCCGACGCGCATGAATATCAGCCGTTTCAAAAGGACTGAGGAGAGTTTCGAGGAGTGAAAAAATTCATGGTCAAAAGTTTGTTTTTGAGCAAAAATTGGCAAGAAAAATACTTTTTCCATTGAAATACTACAATGATTGGGATTGAAACCTGGTTTTCCGATTAGTTCCGACTGTTTTACATGTCTTGCTTTTGTATTTTTGAAAAAATGACGAAAGTTTGGACGTGCCGAAGGAAATGTCGCCCTTCAACTAAAAAAAATATACTATAAAACATTTTGACAGTTCAAAAACTTATATTGTACTAAACCCCAGGTATTGTTATTTATCCTAAGTTGCTCCTTGTTTTATTCCTTCTAAAACATGAATAATTTGACGCTTTTCAAGTGATGTTATTTTCGTCATCGCGTTCTTGTTGGTCATTACAGTGAGCACTAATGAATGTGGCAATATTTTTGTCAATTCTTAAATGCATTTTTTTTCGACCCTGAAACGTTCAATCTTCTTGAAACTTCGCATACAGATGTATTTTACATGAGGTAAATAATCCCTGAGGTTGCACGTCTTACCTTTGGAGCAAGATTATCTGACTAAAAAATGTGCATATTTTGAAAAAAAGTTTAAAAAGGGCCTGGTCGACCTACAAAGAAAACTTCAAGCACGGCTTCAAGCCTTCAACTCTCCCCGCCCCTGACTTAGCCTTCCTGTTATATTTAGCTCACTAGTCAACGGTGGCGCGCGAAAAAAGAGAAGATCCTGGTAAAGACTGCGAAAATCGTCATGATTCTGCAGGTACAATTAAACAAGTGTAAATCCTTGGTTTTGTGTGTGGCATATAGACCACCAAACTCCCCTCCATCGCTGCTAATTGATTTTCTAATGCCTAACGTAACCTCAGCATTGTCCAAATGCAAAGATTTGATAATCCTCGGTGATTTAAATTGTGACATGCTACAACAATCTAAACCAGAGTCGCGCGCATTACTTGAAGTTTGTTCCAGCCTCAATTTATATCAGATTATAACTACCCCTACGCGTGTGACTGAAAACACGCATACTTTAATAGATGTGATTATTACTTCAAATCATGATCTAATATCGTCTAGCAATGTTCTGCTTTCATCTATCAGTGATCACTCCTTACCTTATGCTGTGCTGAATCTGAAATGTCCCAAGAGTAATCCTAATTATGTAACAGTACGTAGTTTCAAAAACTATCGACAGGAATCGTTTGTAAACGATCATGAATCATTTGTAACGCATGAAATCCGTGCATTAATGAAGACGAGGGATAAATGGCACCGTAGAGCTGTTAAGTCTAAAGACAAGCGCGATTGGAACTGTTATCGGTTTTTTAGACAAGAGGTCAAAAAAGAAATAAGAGTTGCAGAGAAGGAATATGTAAGAAAATGAGATAAATTCAAACTATGGAAACTCGAGGTCTCTATGGAAAACGATCAATGATTGTTTACCTCGTAAAAAGCGATTACCTGCGCAACACAATTCTAGTCAGTTGGCGGATAACTTCAATAAATATTTCACATCACTTGGTCGATCTACTGCCATAAAGGTTTGCGAGATTGCCAAGGAGCATAAACATAAAACGTACTGAAAATCCTCCTGAAATTCAGTTTTCTTTTCATAAAGTTTCTGAACAAGAAGTTGTGAAAGTCATTAAAGATCTACCTGCCAACAAGGCTTCTGGACTTGATAAATTGACAGTCGGAGTGATTAAAGATTGCTTGCCGGTTATTTCGTCTACGATAACTAGTCTAATTAACTGCTCCTTTAGCACCAATACTTTCCCAGATGTCTGGAAAATTGCAGAGGTCATACCTATCCCAAAAACCGGAGATAAAGAGATAGCAAGTAATAATCGTCCAATTTCGTTGTTGCCAACTATGTTGAAAGTTTGTGAAAGGTTGGCCCATGGTCAATACAATGATTTTTTATGCTCTGAAGATAAAGTCTCTCCACACCAAAATGGAAACAGAAAATTACATTCCACAGAGTCAACCTTGATAAAAGTTACGGATGATATATTGGAAGCTATGGATGGAAAATTGATTACCATCATGGTTTTAATCGACTTTTCAAAGGCTTTCGACAGAATCGACCATGATGTTCTTTTAAATAAATTATGGAACATTGGAATGACTCCAAGTGCTTTGGAATGGTTTTCCAGCTATTTGACAAGCAGATCTCAACGAGTACGCTTGGGGCAGTCTCTCTCACAACAGCTTTCCCTCTCTCATGGAGTCCCCCAAGGATCTATCTTGGGACCTTTGATGTTTACTGTTTACGTTAATGATCTGCCTTCGATAGTGGTTAAATGTAAACCGGAGTGTTACGTAGATGATAGTAAGCTTTATATTAGTTTCTTAGTTAACAACTTGGATTTAGCAATAGACCAAATCAACAAAGATCTCGATCAGTTATGCTGTTGGTGTTGCGGCAATTCTCTAGTTGTAAATCCTGAAAAAACAAAGTCCTTGTTTTGGGAACTCGGCAGCGTTTGCAACAACTTCCAAACTTTTCCATCAAATTTCTTTCTAAACAGATCAAGCCTATTCCTGTTGCGAAAGACCTTGGAGTTCTCTTGGATTCATGCCTGGCTTATTCTGACCATATCACAACAACTGTCTCTTCATGCATGTATTTATTATTTAAGATTAATCGCGTGAAACATCTTTTGGATCGCAAAACATTTTTACTTGTGATACATTCTCTAGTGTTTAGCAGATTACATTACTGCTCTTCTGTATGGAGCAACACGTCGAAATAGAATGTAAACAAACTGCAGCGTGTACAAAACTTTTCTGCCCGTATATTAGTTGGCTTACGAAAGTACGATCATGTATCTCCTGCTTTCAAAGAACTTAAATGGTTGAACGTTAAAGATCAGTTATACTTTAGAGATGCTATACTCGTCTTTAAATCTTTACATAATCTAACACGTCCTTCGCTCACTGAAAAATTTTAAAAAAGTTCTGAAGTACATTCCAGAGTTACAAGAAACGCTAGTGATTTACATTTGCCTCAAATCAAAATCAAATCAATTTATTCTGCCACAAGTTAGATATTTACAAATTTAATAAGTGAATAGGAGAAGGCAAGGAAACCCAAAAGAAACCAAAAGGCTTATAAAATTGGGCTCCTTTATACTACAAACTTGCTCTGATAGATATGGAGACGGTACGGTGGAAACAATAATTATACTGATATCAATATACTGATATCAAAATACAGTAATTACAGTAATAATAATATATCATTACAGATGAATAATAAAAGCAATAAAATAAAAAATATTAAATTGTCAAATGAAGAAGAAAAATAATGAATGATAAGGCAATTACGAGGAAAACAAGTATTTTTTTAATTTAGACTGAAATAAAGAAACACTTGACGCATTGCGAATATCGCAACTTAATGTATTAAAAAATTTCGGGGCTTGGTAACTAACTGAGAATTTTCAAATGTTTGTTCTGCAAAAGGGGATATGATACAAGTTAGACTGACGTGTATTATAGTTATGAACTTGACTCGTACGAAGAAAGAGGTTATCAAAACTTTTGGGTAGTAAATTATTTCGATATAAATACATAAATTTCCCTAGCTGATACAAATAGATATTTTCGAATTTCAATATCTTAACTTCAGAAAAAATCGGATCAGTGTGTGCATTAAATGTTTCTTTATTAATAATTCTAACAATGCGCTTTTGAAGCAAGATAATGCGTTTTAAATTTGTTGCGTAGGCAGAACCCCAAACAATTAAACAATACTGTAAATAAGGATAAACTAGAGAATAATACAATTTAAATAAGGAAGACTTTGAAAGGGAAAAACTGGCTTTGTATATGATACCTATAGATTTGGATATTTTCCTAGCAACTTGAGAAATATGAGGTTTCCAAGAAAAGTGTTCATCCAAAATAACACCAAGAAAAGCAATTTCTTTTACTCTATCAATTGTATAACCGTTTAATGTTATAGATAAATCATTTACTAATCCTTTTTGTCTAGGTTTAAAGATCATATAATTAGATTTCTTTATATTAATTGACAGCTTATTAGCCTTAAACCACTCAGACAACTTTTCAATTTCACCGTTGATAATATTTCCCAATGAAAAAAAAGTCCTTATGGGAGCAGAATAAATTAGTGTCATCAGCGAATAAAATCAACTCGAATATATCAGAAACATTGCCTAAATCATTAATATATAGAAGAAACAGAAGTGGCCCAAGGATAAAACCCTGGGGCACCCCAAATTTTATAATTTTGTAAGTGGAAGAAGTGTCATTGTATTGGACATATTGTAGGCGGTTGAAAAAGTAACTTTTTATCCAATCAAGAGCCAATCCTCTGATGCCATAATGTTGGAGTTTATCGAATAAAATATCATGATT